ATGAAAGTAAGTTTAAATGTTAAATTAGAAAATTATCGGGGCACCTGGGTGGTTAAGCATCCGACTCTTGATCTTGTTCAGGTGACGATCTCGCAGTTCATGAGTTCGAGTCTCACATCAGGCCCTACACTGACAGTACAGAGCCTGCTTGGAATTCTCTCCCCCTCTCTCTCTCTGCTCCTCCCCTTAGTCCACTCTCACAATAAATAAACTTAAAAAAAAAGAAAACTGTTGGTCACATGCATAAAGTCACATATTGCAGATAATTCCCAAAGAACCAACATGTTGGTAGCAGTAGCAATATCTGCACTTGTCATTTGGCAAGCATTTCAGAAACTAGGCAAAACTGGGAATGTATAGAACTCACGTTGTTGGGTTTTGTTTTTGTTTTTTTTTTTTTGCACACAATAACAGTAATTTTTTTAAGTTTATTTATTTTGAGAGAGAGACAGAGCGAGTTGGAGAGGGAAAGAAGGAGAAGGAGAGAAAGAACCCCAAGCAGGCTCCACACAGTCAGTGTAAAACCCAATGCAGGGCTCAAACTCACAAACTGTGAGATCATGACCTGAGCTGAAGAGTTGGACACAACCAACCGAGCCACCCAGGCGCCCCAGAAAAACAGTAATTTTTAAGGAAACATCTCAATGAAAGGACCTAAAATATGAACATCTCAAGCAGATCTGTACCATTTGTAGTGATGTCTGTCACCTCTTCTTCCTGATACTGGTAACTTGCATCTTTCTTTCCTGACCAGTCTGGTTAGAGAACATTAACTCTGCTGATCTTCTCAAAGAACTGGCTTTTGGTTTCACTGGTTTTCTGTTTCCTACTCCACTAATAACCACTCCTTAGTACTTCCCTTTTCCTGCTTACTTTGGGTTTGCTTTCCTTCGTCTAGTTCTTAGGGTGGAAGCTGAGGTCTATTTGAGCCCTTTCGTCTTTTCTAGCAGAAATTTAGTGCTAACAATTTCCCTGTGTCCACTCTTGATCCCATTGTAGAAATTGGCACATTCGTACAGAGTTCATGTAAACAATGCCTGTTTACTGGAAGAAGAGGGGAACATGAGCAAGTGACAGCTAAAAACATCTCAGGTAGCTTCTGGATTTACTCTCCACCTCTCAAAGCCTACAGAGCCTCTCCTCTGCTTCCCTCCGCTCCGCTCTCGTGCTTTCTCTGGAGTCTCTCTCCCTGCCGACACCAGGACCATGAGGTCCACGTACCCATTGCTGACTCCCCAGAATCCCTTTGTTTGGTTTATTTTAAAATTTGAGAAAGTCTAATTGATCAACAGCTTACATCAGAGGTCCAAGTAGCCACCGTCAGGGGCCAGGGTCATACTGCATGTGAAACTGTCCTTTCTAGGGCTTGGGGAGGCGGGTCAAGGAGCCTCCTTGCAGGCTACCCATTACTCTCAATTGAAAATTAATTTCTTTAAACAAGTGCCACGTGATTTCACATCTATGTGGAATTTAAAACACAATATAAATGAAAGAAAGCAGAAACAGACTCATAAATACAGAGAACGGAAGGTTGCTATGAGCGGAGGTAGATGGGAGATTGAGCAAAGCGAGTGAAGGGGATCCAGGCTTCCAGGTATGAAATGAGTATGTCGGGGGAGAAAGGAGACAGCACAAGGGATACAGTGAATGGCACTGTAGCGTTATATGGGGACAGAGGACTGCGATGTTTGGGGTGAGCATAGCTCAACTATAGACTCGTTGAACCACTGTGTTGTGTACATCTGAAACTAATGTGACACTGTGTCAACGATACTAAGTGTTGTGTTTTGGGGCGGGGGGGTGACGCCTGGGTGGTTCAGTCAGTTTAGGCGTCCAACTCTTGATTTTGGCTCAGGTCATGATCTTACAGGTCGTGAGTTCAAACCTAGCTCGGGATTCTCTCTTCTTCGCGCACGCGCTCTCTCTCTCTCTCTTTCTCTCTCTCCAAATAAATAAATATTTAAATGAACTTTAAAAAACAGTTCATCCAGAAGACAGACGGACACTGGAACTTGGAATTTTCTGAAAGCTGACACCTAAGTTCCCTGATCACGGTAGCTGCCCTTATATTCTCAGACGAGCATCTTTTATTGACATGGCATTAGATATGCCTGATTTTACCTAAAAATCATGGACTCTCAACATTTTTCTTGAGAGAGTACACATGCAAGAAAAAATATTTGAAAGGTTTGCCATTTTGAAAAGAATCTGAAGACACCATTTACATACAGCTCAGAAGCAAACATCTGAATTTAAGCTGTTGCCTTCCTACCTGCCACAGTAATTCAGATTGTACCGTATGTTTGCTGCTCCAGAATTCCTAGAATTTAAGCAAATCTTAATTGCACCTGAAAATCAGAAAGCTCTGGAGAGTAAAGCCCCTTAGAACTCCACTTCAGAGAAGAGGAAACACAACAGCATTTAATTAATCCCTCTTGCCAGGAAAGGTGGTAAAAACAAGGCGAGGCTGCAAACACCCCCAGTCTGAGCCATTAAAGATGCATTAAAGGTAAGACTCATTTACAAAGATCCAAAGGAACTACTCTGGTTGAAATAAGTCCGTTCCAAAAACAAAGCCAAAACCCCAACATCCTTTGAGGTTACAAAGAGCCCTGGTGTTCTGCTATTTGTGTGTAAACATTTAAAAATTCCAACCTTCCTGCTGCCGAGTGGAGCTTTTGGGGTTCAGCTGCTGCCAAGTGCTACCTCAGCCAAAGAGGAGTCCTAAGAGTCTTTGAAAACTGTTATTTAAGATCAAAAGGGTCCATCCTCTACCCTGCCATTCTCACCTTGTAGAATTATAGGGAAAGGTCTGCCAAAAAGCAAAATGAAACCCAAAGGCACCAACCAAAACACCCAACCAAAACAAAACACCACCCTGCAGATGACATTTCACCTGAAGGCTGTTATTTAAGGCTGCCCACTCCCACCCCTCCCCCATTTCCTCCTCTCATCCTTGTACAGCCCTGATCTTCTGCACACTTAATTAGGCATGTGGTGATTCGCACCAGACAAGAGTGTGCTTTAAAGACTTTGAAGAATACTTAGTTTCCCGGGTTCCTTTGGACAGGCTCATCTATCCTTGATGGGGGAGTGAAGCTCCAGCAATTGCCAAGGGGAACCGGGGATTCTCCCTGAAGCTATTCTTCTGGGTTCCAGGGAATTACTGTACTAATTGCAGTGAGAATGCAGGCCTGGCTACCTGCCCTGTCAGTCTCTAGCGCGCAACAGAACCTGCAAATGAAAACACAGGTAGCTGGTTCATTCTGTGTAACTTATAATCCCCTCAATGGAATGCTAAATGCACAACAACAACAAAGGAGGCAAAAGCACGCTGACCTCAAGGCTGTCCTTTCATTTCCCACAAATCCCAACTGCACCAGGGCGTGCCTGCGATCCGAGGAATTGCCCGCTACAAGCAACATAAGAGGCTTCTAATTGGCAGCTGAACTGGAAAACTGGATAGAACTTACGGGAAGACTGGAGAGGCCAGACAGCTCTGCCTCTCACTCAGAGTAGCCCTGGGCAAGTTGCGGGACCTCAGTGCAGTTCTTCGTCTGTAAAATGGGAATGTTGTCAACACCCACCTCACAGAGAAGAGGAGTTCGTTCATTCATATTAAGGGTTTTTAGTATAACGCCTGACACATTATAAACACTTTGTTTCAATTTGCTATTATAGTATAGTGACTTTCCCCTTTCTGTTTATTTCTTAATGTTTATTTTTGAGAGAAAGAGAGCGCACTTGCATGCACGACTGCAGCAGGTGAGGGGCAGAGAGAGAATCCCGAGCAGGCTCTGCACTGTCAGCACAGAACCCAATGTGGGGCTCAAACTCACGAACCATGGGATAATGACCTGAGCTGAAACCAAGAGATGGAGGCTTAACCTACCCCTCCCCCTTCTTTCAAACACAAAATGGAGTATTTACAGTTCTTGAGGATTTTTCAAAATAAGAAAATTTAGACAAGTAATCAATTGGTAGGTAACTAATTCGGGGCGGGGGAAGCCTAGTGCAGGAAGCTAACTCCCTTTAAGATAAAAGTTTCAAAAAAATTCCCCCTGCACTTCAAGGTCGTAACCTAGGCTGAACCCCTAAGCTAGATTCCTTTGGATATTTCATCCAAAAAGCCCCTTTATTTGAAGCCATCATCTTCTTTTTATTTGGGAGAGAACATGAGCAGGGGAGAGGGGAAGAGGGAGAAAGAGAATCTTAAGCAGGCTCGGCACAGAGCCCAACGCAGGCCTCAATCCCACAACCCTGGGCTCATGACCTGAGCCGAAATCAAGTCTGACGCTCGACTGAGCCACCCCAGCACCCCTAGCCATCATTTTCCCTCATAATATTTTCACTTATATATCAACTATGGTACTTGAAATGTTTCCCCCTCACCAGTGGGTGCGGCCTTGCTCCTACTTCACCAACGCCTCTAGGGGGCAGTGCAGCAGAAAAAAACACTTGCCTAGAGCGGGCAGGGAGGTCGGCACCCAGAGCACATCACTCAGTCCCCACTGGCCACCAAACCACGCACCATCCCACCATACCGCGTGAGACAGTCATGCTGACAGAAAAACACAAGTGCTTTTAATGTTAAAAGTGGTCTGTTTCAAGGAGAGAAACACAGTAAGTGAACAAAGAATGAACAGAATTAATTTCTATGCTTTTGTGTCTTGTGTTTTTTTTTTTTTGTTTTGTTTTGTTTTGTTTTTTTCTTGAGAGAGAGCAAGAACGCATGCACGTGAGCCAAGAAGGGCAGAGAGAGACGGAGACAGTGAATCCCCAGCAGGCTCCCACCCGGGGCTCAAACTCGCGAATCATTGAGGCGAAGACCAAGGAAACACAACACTTGTGAGACCCAACGTGCCCCACTCAAACCTGATAAATCACTGCATTTCCGCACGGGTCCTCCCTCCGGATCCGCAGGAGCAGCTGGCCCCGCTCCCCAGCCCTTCTTTTACCTGCCATGTTATGAGCCATAAATAAAAACACACGAACAGGCATCAGCTAAAAACTTCGACTTTTAATAATGGAAACAATTTGCCATTCCAGAAACTGTAGGGAAGAAAAACCTTCCCTATAAAAATAAACTCATCAAAATTATAAATATTATAACTTTTTTACTTCTGCGATTTAAAATGCTCCCCCGTAGTACTCCGCCCTTCATTTAACAACATTCCTGTACCATCGCATGCTGCAGAGAAAACAGTATTACAGCAAAGCTCAGTTTAACGTTAGAATTTGTACAATGATTTTTTTTAAATCTTTGGCCTTGGTGGCCTTTCTTCTTTCACCCACGAAAATGCTGCTGCGGGACCCACTGTTTGGGAGAAAACATCAGTATTCAAAGAGCTGCGTACGGACAGAATTTCAACACAGCAAGTCTTCCAAATTGCAAATGGTAGTGCGCACAACAATGAGCGAGGTTCTGGGTCCTACAATAAGGATGTCTGTTTTAGACAATCTACTTCAAGTTTAAAAAAAAAAAAAAAAAAAGGGAAAAAAAATCCCCCCACCCCCCACAGATAGCCATCCGCTACTACTTTAGGTTCTAACAGTGTCTTAATCTGAGAAACAGAAGCTTCACAAACTATAAGCTTACGGGATGGGCGATTAAAAGACCAGGTGGTTGATAACAGCACACTCCCACCCAAGCCACAGTCTGAATAGTAAAACCAGTATAAAACTCATGACGGCGTTCCCTGAACAACAAAGGTAAAAGTGTTGGATGACAGTGTCACTAAAACCTCATCGATGCACTAAAAAGAAGTTACATGCAAAATTCAACAAGACGTGCCATACATATTTTATAGCTAGTTCTACTCCCCCACCTCTCCTTACAAAGCGCAGGAAGATATGATTGTCTCAGTAGCACGCGTGGCCCCGGCATAACCGCCACCTACGCCCGCCTCTAACAGGACGGGTGTTCCCTCAGAAGTCACAAGTGCCACACCAAGAGGGGAACCGAAATGCAATCGAAGGCACAGTTCACTTAAGAGGCAAAGAAATGAAGCACCTTGGAATTTCAAAAAGAATCCATTAGGTGTCACCAAAGTGTTGACAATTCCTTGGGAATTTATAAACAAAACACATCTAGACTAAAAATAGACTATAAGGCCCCTCAAGAACCACAGCGCGCCCTTCCCATTGTTTTCAGATTGACTGCTGGCAAAAAAACAAAACAAAACAAAACTGAGGTTACTTAGCCTGCTTTAAGGAAGGTTCCTATTGCACATACCTTTCTTTGGTTGGTAGGAACATGCACTTTTGTTAAAGCATTTCCAAAAAGAACCCCTCTTGTGTGATCAGCTGGGGGGAGGGGCTCCCTTTCTTGCCACCCTCCTCCTTACAGCCAAGCAGTCCTACGGAAGGAGGGTCTGATGGCGCTGGGTCTATGTAATCCACATCCCTATTCTACCTTAGGTCAGAACAGACTGTAAGAGGAAGCGGGAAGGAAAAAAGAGGGGAGAATGGAGGAGGAGGAAGGGACGGGAAAGGGAGGAAAAGGGGGAGACAGGGGACTGATTGTCACGAAAGTATGCTTTGAGCTCTCTACCTGCCAAGCGGCCCCCACCCAGACTCTTTTTCAACCCAGAAAACAGCTGGGGAGGGGGAGGGGGAACCACAACATAACAAGAGTTAGCAAATGGTCCCACCGCCCTGAGGAGAGAGCACTGGACCGTCCACAGGGAGGGCAGCCCCAGCGGCATGACTCCTGTCTGTCTGGGTCTGCAAGGTCCACTTGCCGGAATGTTCTGCTCAGCTGCAGACTTCCCAGTCCCTCCTTTTGGTCTAGCTCCTACTTTCTTTGGCTCTGTTCCTATACTTGACTCACCAGGAAATCAAGCAGTACTACCATGGGTTTAACATCTCAGAACTGAATGCGTTCACCTCATCAGCAAATACATCTTTCTCCCCTACCACCAACTCGTCACCCAAATCACGTTCCTATAGAGCTCCCCAACTTCCACTCCTGCCTTCTTCCAAACTTGCTCTTCACTTTCTTTGTCAAACTCCTACAAAACCCTTCACACAAAGCCTTCAGAGTTCCTAGCTTCCTGTGCCTTACAGTTCACATGGATCACTTCCTCTGACATTTAAAAACAAAAACAAAAAAACAAAAACAAAAACAAAAAACAAACAGGTAGTTTCGACACAGGACAAGTATTCAGATAGATTCCTTGTTAAGCTTTTAAAAAATCATTTGCACATCCTTCAGCTTAACATCATCACATAATTAAAGTAACTAAAAGAAAGTAAGGAATTAAAAAAAAAAAAAATCAAAAAAACAAAACCCAGAGTCCATGCTTTGAAGCAGTCTAGATGGCTCCAGATGAGACTACAGATTCACAGCTTGCCGAGAGGTAACACCACAGTGCTGTAACAGAACAAGCTTGCAGGATCCCTTACAGAACATGCCGAAGGTGCGTGATGCCGTGGGACCAGGTTTTGGGAACTAGATCTAGAGATCAAAGAGGGAAGACCCTAGCGTCACGGGGCGAGAAGACAGCCCTCCATCGAGGAGACACTTGTGCCGGCTTGTAGGCTTGTACACAGGTCATGCGCCTTTCCTTCCCGAGCGGCAGGGAGCCCCGCACCTTAGTCAGGTTTCCACACCTCACCGAGCGCTTCTTCCAGCTTGTGTCTGTAGGCGGCATAGCGCCTCTTCAGGTTCTGCAGTTGCTCATCTTCCTCCTTGTCCAAGATCCGCAAGAAATTCTGCAGTTCTGGAAGGCTGAAGGCTTCCCACTGGGAAAGAACACAAAAGAAAAAATGCCAGGTGTTGAAGTCAGAGCTCAGGAATGCTGGTCCAGAGCGGGCGGGGGTGTGGCTGCCCCTCCCCGCTCCGGACAGCGTTTCCAAAGCCCTGTTTTACAAGGTTGCAAGGTTTTAAGGAGGCCTCCCACGGAGCCCTGCCCCTGCCCTCCACCCCTTCCCCCTGCTCCTCCCCCTGGCCCTCCAGATAGTAGCCAAGCAAACTCCCACACTCTCACCCACCTCCTTCCCTCCTCCCACTGACCTCCACAATGGCTCTCACAAGGGCCACAGTGCACCAGACACTTTCACTGCTGATTTGGCCCTTCTTTACCTGACTGAAGAGGCTCCACTACCCGCTTCCTCTCCCTGGAGTCACCCCTGCCACTGCCTTCTTCCTCACCTCCCACAATCTTACCAGCTCTGAAAGCAGCTGTCCAACTGGCCTGTTTTTCTCTACCTTTACTGCCCCCTATTTATCCACCACCCTTTTCTCCATCCCTGGGAGAGACTCGCCCATGGCCTCCTTACTATAGCCTTCTGTTCCCCAACAGCGAGCCTGAATACTCTGCAAAATGGAAATCTAGGCCTGACCCTCCCCTGCTAGAATCATTCAGTGGCTTCCACTTGCTCTTGCTAAGTCTGAAAGACCCTTACTCCTCTCCTCTAGCACCTTCCTCCCCCCACCCGGCCAACCCCCCTCTCCATGCTGTGGCCCTCACTCATTACATTACCCTCCGAGGCTGCACACACGTTCTCTACTCTGCATGGCGAACTTCTAACTCAACCTTCAAGTCTCAGCTTAAATGCCGCTTCCTGTAAGAAGTCTTCCATAATTTCCTCCCATCCTTCCCACCCAGAACTATGTCCATTAGAAGTGCTCACTGAGCAATAACAGCCATGATCACAAAAGATTTCAAAATTTTGACAATGATTTGCTTAGTATCTCCCTTGCCTACACTTTACCTACACTACAGCTGCTGCACCTGTCACTACTTGAGCTTTGCCTCTTGACCTTTGAGTCTCAAGTTCTGTTTCCCCAACAGCACCTGGTATCTCGCAGGCACAAAAAAACACTGATGGGGTGTTATATTTTTATTATTATTATTATTTTTTTAATTAAAGCAGTAAAGGCAAGAAAGGTACTTGGCATCACAGGGGAGTTTTTGTTTGTTTTTCAACACATTGTCCCCCGCCAAAAAGGGGCCTTGGGTCTTCTGCTGAGAGTCACTGCCTCGTTCTGGAACAATTTCTGATGGGGAACTCACAGGGGTGTGGGGAGGGAGAAGACTGGAGAGAACCTACTACAAGGGTAACAGATGGACTAAAACCACCAAGTGGGCACATGGTAGAAGACTTTCTGAAGAGGGATTCTGACCTGGTTATTAAAGAGATTAAGAAACATGAAACAGGAGAACAAAACTTCCTACATTAGCACACTCCACTTATTACAACAACACTGTCAGGAAAAGAAGGGGGGGCACCTGGGTGGTTCAGTCAGGTAAGCGTCTGACTTTTTTTTTTTTTTTTAATGTTTGTTTATTTTTGGTAGACAGAACACAAGCAGGAGAGAAGAGACAGAGGGAGAGACAGAATCCGAAGCAAGCTCCAGGCTCTGAGTTGTCAGCACAGAGCCCGATGCGGGGCTCGAACTCACAGATGGTGAGATCATGACCTGAGCCAAAGTCGGATGCTTAACCGACTGAGCCACCCAGGCGCCCCATCATCTGACTCTTGATTTCTGACTCAGGTCATGATCTCACAGTTGTAAGAGGGAGCCCAGCAGTCGGCTCTGCACTAAGAGTGGAGCCTGCTTGGGATTCTCTCTCTTTCTCTTCTTCTTCTCCTCTCCCTTACTTGTACTTTCTCTAAAATAGATCAAATGGAATTTAAAAATTCTTTAATAAAATTAAACGGGGGCACCTGGGTGGCTCAGTTGGTTAAGTGTCTGACTTCAGCTCAGATCATGATCTCACAATGTGTGAGTTCAAGTCGCACATCAGGCTCTCTGCTGACAGCATGGAGTCCACTTTGGATCTTTCGTCTTCCTCTCTTTACTCCTCTCTCCTGCTCTTGTGTACACTCTCTCAGTCCCTCTCTCTCTTCCCTCTCTCTCAAAAATAAATATTTTTTTACATAAATAATAAAAACAAATAAAATAAAATCTTTAAAAGGACTCCTGGGTGGCTCAGTGGGTTGAGTGTCCCTCTTTTAATCTTGGCTCAGGTCATGGTCTCACAGTTGTGAGATCGAGCCCATCCTCAGGCTCTGCACTGAGCAGAGAGCCTGCTTGGGATTCTCTTTCTCCCTGTCTCTCTGCCCCACCCCTGCTCACACTCTGTCTCAAAATAAATTTAAATAAAAATAAACACAACTTTAAAAATAAAAAAATTAAAGAAACAGCATTGTCTTCCTAAAACTCCCCAAATAAAGTTCCAATTTAGACATATAAACATAATTTACAAGGCATGTTTACATACATTTTCAATTTGTGACTCAAAACCACCTTTCAAAATCTTTACTCCCACTCTACAGATTTTAAAACTGAGGACTGAAAAAGACTGGAAGATTTACACAAGCTCATGCTCCTAATCTAACAAGAGGAACAGTAGGAATCTGAGACTTGGCTTCCTAACTTTTCTTTTATAAAATTTTTTTTTAATGTTTATTTATTTTGGAGAGAGCGAGCAAGCAGGGGAGGGACAGCAAGAGAGGGAGACACAGAATCAGGCTCCAAGCTCTGAGCTGTCAGCACAGAGCCTGATGCGGGGCTCGAACTCAAGAACCATGAGATCATGACCAGAGTCCAAGTCAGACACTTAACCGACTGAACCACCCAGGTGCCCCACTGGTTTCCTAACTTTTAACCTGGAAACTATTCTCATTGCATCACATGATGTTCTACCCAGACAACTCACGCCATTTCCTGTTCCAGACAGAAGATGGAGACCCAGGCCTTGCACGATTTACTCAAGCATCATTTTAAAGCCGACATTTGATCTAGAAGAATGATATAACATGCTTTTTCCTTCAACTGAACTAGCCTAAATTCAATCCTCCCTGGAGAGAAAATGGCAAATGATGCTTATACAAACATAATTTCTAAATCTTCTGGCTGAGGCAAAAAAGATTCTAGGAAGTTAAAGGTCTTTCATGGTAAGGAAATTCCATTTTCTTTTATTTCTCTTTAAACACATAAACCTGCAGATGTTTGTTAGTGACAAACATGGAGTGTCGACTTTCATAGTTTAACCGAATCGGGGCAATTTGGAGGTAGAAGGAGGGATAAGGGCTCTTTAAGTGGGAGGAAGATTTCCCTTCCTTACTCTCCCCCCACCTCTGAAAACTACACACCAAGAGAATGGATGCCATCAACAATTATATTGTAAGCCAACTTGGGGTTTATTTCTGACAAGTGAAGAACACAGGGACGCCTGGGCGGCTCAGTCGGTTAAGTGTCTGAGTCTTGCTTTCAGCTCAAGTCATGATCTCGCGGTTTGTGTAATCAAGCCATGCGTCAGGCTCCACACTGACAGCATCAGCCCGTTTGGGATTTTCTCTGTCTACCTGTCCCCACCCTCTCTCAAAAATAAATAAATAAGAACTTTAAAACAAACAAAGAAACAAAAAACACACAGAAAGGTAAGGTCCACAGACCAGCTCTTCCCCTCCCAAGAGACTCAGCCAGCCAGACACTCGGCGCACACACAGCCTCTCCCTGTGCCCCCCTCCCATGTGAAAGTACAGTCACTGGGCTACAGCAGTAAACCAGGACCAGCTGCTCTGTACAGTGTAAAGCAAGAATGAAGCATCACTCACCTCTCCGATCTCATGTTCACGAAGAACAAAACTAAGTGTGTCCGTCCTGGGCCCGGCCACCAAACGCAGGAAGAGCGGATGTTCCCGGTCTGAGAGCTTACAGGCGTAGACTGGGGAGGGAGACGAGCGGCATGTGACAGAGTACAGGACCGTTCCCTGGACCTACGGCTCGCTTAGCATTCCTCTTCCAGATCAACGCAACCGCCCACATCACCCAGCCCCCACTCACCATCCTCTTCCTGTCGCCATAAACAGCCTACAGTGGGATAAAATCTACACTAGTTCCAGTACAGACAGCTGCACGATATACACTGTGCCTTGATCAAAAAGGAAAGAATTCTCAAGAATGAATTCTAATGGGTCTTAGCCCCCAGATGGGCTTAGAATTCATTCTGCTCCTCCTTTCAGAAAGCAAGATAATCCATGTACAAAAGCATGTGCAACCCCTTTTCAGAAACAGTAAAAGTATACCATGCAAAGAACACAAAATCGGAGCACGGAGCAAATCTGTCTACAGATTTAGAATTTTAACAGCTGCAAATAAACCAAGGGGTCAGGATGCAAGCTCTGGTGGCTTCAGGACCACAGATGTATGAGTCTCCTGCCACACACACACACACACACACACACCCATCCCGAGGGTACTAGCACCACCTGCAGTGCTGAAGGATCCTGCCAGCGTGATGCCAGAGTGAGGTTCATATGCCAACAGGGCACTATCACTGCCCACCTGTGCCGCTCACCCCCAGGTGGGCAGGCACAGCAGGTGGGGAGATAAAATGCCATCTGAGCGTGTCCACATGATTTTGGCACTTCTGGCTACAAGTGCACCACAGGCACGGATCTCCCTGTGGATGCAAACCTCCACACCTCTGGGCCTGGGGCCTCTCGAAGGTAGGAATCTCAGCCTACCCATCTTCATACTCTGCCAGTGGTCTGCGCTCAAAACAGTGCACGCACACCCAGCAGCCAGCTGGGTTCCGTCCCCAAGCAGTCAAGAGAGGTTCTCCCGGGTCAAGTTAATATATTTTCCTCTGTGGCTGCTGGCGGCTTTACCCCCACAAAGCACAGCATGCGCAGTTGACTGCCCACACCAATTTACCACGTGTAATCGGGCACTTGGTGAATCACAGTATCACAGTCACCTACCACTGGGATCGGCCTGTGCTCGAGCACCTGACCCCAACTACTATGTCCAGCTTCATGCCGTTCTTTCACGTTCTCTTTCTATCCATTGAATGTGGGTATCACATTCAGACAAGCAGACCCCAGATCTGAATGCCGTTCATCCAGCGTATAGGACTTGGGGAGCTAGGGGCCGAAATGCCCCCGCATAGAGGCCAGTGTGGCAGACTAGAGAAACAGAACCCATGCTGTCCCATCTCATCTGAAACATTCAGTAATGCGTGTGCCTCCCCAGCCTCAAAGTCTCCGAGAATGCATGCCCCCCTCCGCCAAGCCACTCCGTGTTCAGATGCACCTCAAACGTGCAATGAATGTGCTAATGAAGCCTTCAAGCACAGAGGCATTCTTTGTTGTTGTGAAGAGCATCAAAATCAAGGCAAACAAAAAAAAACAAAACAAAAAAAACAAATTAAAGCATTCCCCTGTGCACACATGACAGAATCCTCCATCAGATCAGACCCACAACCGTCCAACTCAAAACTATGCAACACCAGCAAACCTTAGGGGTAAGCCATGATCACCATGGCTTCCAGAAGCCATCCCAGGACTCTGACACAACTGAGGGACATACACCCAGCAGTGTCCTTTCTGCTAACAAGGACAAAGACTTAAGGGCAGAGGCATTTCCAGCTCACGCATGGCAGCGTACCTTGGTCTTCCCTGTGACAACGCTTATAAAGTGCAAACTTGGCAGGGCTCTCGGTCACGAGAAACTTCTTGAGCAGGGCCTCGATCACTTCCCCGACGGTGTTCATGCTGCTGATGTGAAGCGTGTTCGTACAGCCATTGCTAGTAGGAGCAAGCTTTCCGAGGCTCGGAGACGTCTGGGGGGGTCTGCAGAGTTCCATGTGCACTTTGATGAAGCCAGTGTAAATCCCATTTGAATTCTGAAGTGGGAAGAGAAGCACAGGCTTAGTTGGGTGGACGGTGGCATTCAAGGAAAGGAGACCAGCAAGAGCAAGAGCATCTCGCCTTCTCTCTCCGGCTGTGTTTTTCCTGCTCATGGCAGAACTGCAGGAAAGATCGCCCTCAAGGGAATGATCTCAGAAGGAGAGTAACACCCCCAACAACCTTCCAGAGGCAAGGTCTGGCGGACAGATGTGGCTTCCCCCTGCTGTGGGGAGCCCGGTCGGACACTGATGTGCCTGAAGCTGCATGTGAAAGGTCCAGGTCCCCTGGAGAGGTCACGACCCGCTGGAGCAGAGGCAAGCCAGATCCCAAGATGCGCTGGCACACGGGGGGACATGTCTGCAGCTGATGACCAGCTATTACACACATAGGCAAGACAAGGAAGGTCGGGGCGGGGCGGGGGGGGGTGTCTTGAAAACGCCCAAGCGAACCTAGAGTGGATGGTAAGCAAACAAGCTATTTCATTCCCAGTGGCTATTACGGTATGTGCTTGATTACCAGTTTTTCTGAAACTTTTGCACACGGCACGTATGCCATATGGCATGGGGTGCATGATGATGTGATTCCCATACCTCAAGCGGCGAGATGTGTAAAACAAATAGAAGCTACAATGTGAACTCTAGAGATTATAAGGATTTGTCTTTTTGGTCTTATTTATACCTCCATGTATATACTATTTCCTCACAGTTTTACTGAGGTATAATTTTTATACAAAAAAAAAAAAATCACACATATTTATATACACAACTTGCTGAGTTTAGCATTTACCTGATGGCAGAATTACTATGTCTTCATTGCCAAAAATAGTAATAATGGTCTGGTCTTCACTTTTTCTTTTTACAGCCAGTATATTTACAAAAAGTTCATTCTAACGTTTTATTAAAGCAAATCATCAGGTGTTATATATAAATGAGACAGTTAAAGTAAAACATTCAAAAAAAATCTCCTTTTGGGTCCATATTTTTCTTCGTTTCGGCAAGATCAACTTACAATGCTAATTTGCTTGTTCGTTCCTGTGGAAAGTATTACACAACACTTAACATTTCTATCTATGAAATGAATGGAAACCTGCATGTTTTAATCTCCACGATGGGGAGGGAAGAAGGAATCATCGCAAGTGGAATATTTCTCCTCTGATGAAAAATGCGTTTGAAAACAGAAATATCAGTGTTAGAATGACGAAGTTAGGGGAGTTGGAGTCATCTGTCTCCCCTCCCCCCCAGGGGAGTCTGCGGGGGAGGGATTCTTCATCACAAGGACTTAGATTTAAAGGCTCCTCCCCACCGTGGGGGAGAAGAAGGGGGGAAATAGTGGGGGAGAGGGAGGGAGGCAAGCCATGAGAGACTCTTGAATGCTGAGAACTGAGGGACTGATGGGGGGGGATGGGCATGGAGGAGGGCACTTGTGGGGATGAGCACTGGGTGTCATATGGAAACCAACTTGACAATAAACTATTTTTTAAAAAATAAATAAATAAAGGCACCTTCCCAAAGGTCAAAGAACTCAGTAGGGCCTGTTTTAAATGAGTCACCCCTTCCTTCGCTCAACTGTCAGGTCACAGTCAACAGATTCACAGGCACAAGTCCAAGGGCCCTGGAAACCGGCAAAGGGATGGCAGGTGCCTCAAGGAAAGTCCCCAAATGGGAGGACGAGGCACAGATGTCAATCCAGGAAGCACGTGAATATTGTGGCTTTGTTGCTGGCCCTCCCTGCACCGTCACCAAGCCCGGGGCATCCCTTGCTCCTAAACCCTCACTCCCCCCACGTGTCAGCATTCGGTGCCACACTGCTGAAGCCCGAGGAAGCTGAGCACCGCATCCCTCATCTTCCCCAACAACCAGCTGAGAGAAACCTTCGGGAGCCACAGGCATGAAATTATATCCTGGAGCCACAGGTATGAAATCCTTTTCCCCGACACTTCCAAACTTATCTACACAAGACAAAATGTATCTAAAGCCTTATTAGAATCGGAGTTACCACCTACACGTTAAATAGGCAATTCTTCTACTCAATGCTAAAAATCCTTTGGAGGCCGTCACAAAAACTTTTACAATAAAACTGTAAAGTGTTTACCGATGTTGAGATACTTCGATATTTAACTTTACCTTGAAAGCTGCAAAAAACACTCCACTTTACTGCTCTGCACACTTTTTTTTTTTAAACGTTTATTTTTGTGAGAAAGAGAGAGAGCGTGAGCAGTGGAGGGACAGAGAGGGAGATACAGAATCCAAAGCAGGCTCCAGGCTCTGAGCTAGCTGTCAGCACAGAGCCCAATGTGGGGCCCGAACCCACGAACCGTGAGATCATGACCTGAGCCGAAATTGGATGCTTAACCAACTGAGCCACCTAGGCGCCCCTACTGCCCTGCACACCTTGACCATTCAACATCTGCACATGCTATTCAGAGATTTTAAAACATACAGACTGCAGTACCAACAATTTATATCTGTCTTTCAACATATGTCAACGTAAACAGTACTGTGGATGCTTACCAAGGTCATCTTCAGCTTGTCTGTGACTGCTAAGTTGTACTTGTGAACTTTCTCTTTGATTTCCTCTTTGCTGAGGTAATTGTGGGTTTCCTTCTCTTTCTCCACATCCTAGAAGGAAAAAAAACAAGCCATGCCACACATGAAAAATCATAGAAAAAAATGCAGATACGCCAGGATTCTTTTTACATTCCACATGAGAATTCTGGAGCGCTTCACCTTGAAACACACACGCAGATAGCAACACATACATACGCCCTCTCACTTTCAAACTCTCAGGGTCATCCACCAAATACGGCTCTTATTCCTTCGGACTACGGTCTTCTTGAGGGCTACAACTAATTTGTCAGTGGCTAAAAGTAACACTTTATTAATTATTATTTTGTAAAACTGTCTTTGCTAAATTTTCCTTCTGCACAAACACCATTCTCTAAGAATGCCTGCAAGATTGGCTACTTCCATTTATTTTATTTTATTTTTTGAGGGAAAGAGCGCACGCATGCACAAGTAGGAGAAAGGGCCAGCAGGAAAGAGAGAATCTCAAGCAGGCTCCACACTCAGCAAGAAGTCTGACATGGGGGCTCGATCCCGCAACTCTGGGATCACGACCTGGGCCGAAATCCAGAGTCAGATGCTCAGTCTCAACCAACGGAGCCACCCAAGTGCCCCAGGCTATTCCCATTTTAACAATATTTCAAGACACACACCAAGAGCTTCTCATTAGCAAATTCTATGGACTTTATGGTCTTTACAGCTTTACTATATTTATAAGCAAAAAGCATGGTAGTTAATGTTAACTGGCACTAATCAATGACCTAATTATACACAACTACCAGAGGGTAGTTTTATCTTCCAAACAAATCCTTGTTTCAAGATATAAGTAGCCAGATCCAGATTGCCGCTACCAACCCACTCTCACCCACCCGCACCCCATCCAGTCTCAACCCCAGTTTGGACTCTCCATACTGTGGATGGGACAATAACATTTAAGCCCTCTTTCCACTGAAGAATTCAGTAATGGTTTCTTGTCTAAAGAGCTCAACTAGTGCATGACATGATGTAATGGCTAAATGCAATTACAGACGGCCAAACTTCAGTGTGCTCTGACCGCATGAAGCCAAGCATACAAGACACTTGGCTTGTGTTGCACTTAATTCTCCTGACAACCTAACCAGGTAGGCATTATTATTCCAGTTTCCAAAGGAGATCAAGTTCTGAGTAAATTCACCTGCTGATAGAAACTCAGCAGTTCTGTGGCAGTGACAGAATTTCCCGGAAGCCTGGTCTCAAAGCCCACCAACTCTCAGTAACTCCAGTTCCTGAGATCCCTCGGGAAGTGTGTGGTTTGTCCAGGGACAACTCAGCTAGTTAAAAGACCAAATTCTATTTTAATCTGGGTCCTCTATGTTGTTTCCACTAACAACAATAGGGGGCGCTCGGGTGGCGCAGTCTGTGAAGCGTGAGACTTCAGCTCAGGTCATGATCTCATGGTTCTTGAGTCTGAGCCTTGCATCAGGCTCTCTGCTGTCAGCATCAGAACCCACTTTGGATCCTGTCTCCCTCTGTCCCTGTCCCCCCCCCAGGGCACACTCGGGCACACAAGCTTTCTTTCTGTCTCTCTCAAAAATCAACTTAAAAAAAAAAAAGAATTAAAAAAATAAAATAAAAAATAACATTTCAGAAGCTTCAATGACTATTTCTTTTTTTTCTTTTTTTTTTTATTTTTTATTTCTAGGAGAGAGAGAGAGAGACAGCGTGAACAGGGGAGGGTCAGAGAGAGAGGGAGACACAGACCCTGAAACAGGCTCCAGGCTCTGAGCTGGCAGTCAGCACAGAGCCCGACGCGGGGCTCGAACCCACGAACCGCGAGATCATGACCTAAGCGAAAGTCGGACGCTTAACCGACTAAGCCACCCAGGCGCCCCTTCAATGACTATTTCTAAGGAAATTCAAAACATACATTGTAACTCTCTGCTTGGGGCTGCTCTTTCCAATCCACAATTAGCTGGCCACCGGCCACAGCTGAAAAAGATGGAGTCTTTGTTTCGACTTTGATTGTTCAGTACAGACTGTCCAAAGACTCTTCAAAGCAAATACTAAAAAGTGGACGTAAGAGATTCCCGCTTCCTAGGGGTGAGATGTGGCCCTGGCAGGGCGAGAGGGAGCTGTGAAAACCGTGCCCAACTGCAGCAAGACGGGGCTCTGGTCCAGAGTCTGTCACCAACTAATCCCGTGCCCTCAACTCAATGACCTGAGTCCACTCCCTCATTTCCTATGAAATAAAGGAAACAGAGTGAATCATCTCCAAGGTGCTTCTTGGCCATAATAGAGCGATTTTGCAAAACTCTGATGCTGTTCTCACTGGTGTGACCTGGGGGGCAAAATGGTTCCATTTGAGGAAACAAGGCAACCAAAGGCCCACCACTAAAAGTGTATAAAACAGCTAAGTGCACAAATACTGTAGCATATGTCCACCCTGGGGGCTTACCACCTAAATAAGAGGTGAGGAGTCTAAGAATGAAAAGAAGGGGTAGAGTGATTATGAACAATGAGCAGGGTCCAGTCAATTTAGAATTTAGTGAGTTTTGGTTTTTTTTAAGAATTTGTGTGATTTTTGGGGTGCCTGGGTGGCTTAGGCGGTTAAGCGTCCGACTTTCGCTTAGGTCATGATCTCGCGGTTCGTGGGTTCAAGCCCCGCGTCGGGCTCTGTGCTGACTGCCAGCTCAGAGCCTGGAGCCTGTTTCAGTCTGTGACTCCCTCTCTCTCTGACCCTCCCATGCTCACGCTGTCTCTCTCTCTCTCTCTCTCTCTCTCCTAGAAATGAATAAAACATTTTTTTAAAAAAATTAAAATAAAGAATTTGTGTGATTTTTTTAAAAGAATTTTTTTTAACTTTATTTTTGAGGGGGGGAAGAGCAGAGTGGGGGGGAGGGAGAGAGAGAGAGAATCCCAAGCAGTTACCATATTGTCACCACTGAGCCCAACTCAGGGCTCAAACCCATGAACTGGGAGATCATGACCTGAGCCCAAACCAAGAAGTTGCTCAACTGACTGAGCCACCCAGGCTTTCTACACCCAATGTAGGGCTCAAACTCACAACCCCCAAGATCAAGAGTAGTTTGCTCTACTGACGGAGACAGCCAATCGCTCCTAGTGAGTTCTTAATCGGCCCTAGGCCACCTTACGGCAGCATTCCCAGAAGCCTGAGGAAAACCGGGGGCACTAGCTGGCCTGCAAATAGAAACTCATGCTGGCTTGCCCACAAGGGCACAGCTGAGACATACTTGTGCACCAACAACCCTCCTTCCTTCTCAGAGATTAAAAACCAAGGAAACCAAAAGGAGCGATAACAGAAAAGAGTTGGGCCCAAGGACCTCCGTGATCCTTCCAAGGCAAAACACCTTGTTATTAAAAGATTAATTCGAGAGTAAATCCCAGAGAAGCAGCTATTCCCTAAACGTCTGGGACCCTGAATTGTTTATTGAGCTATAACTCACATGGAACACTGTTTGTCTTAGGTGTACAGTGTAAGGATGTGATACACGTATGTACTTCAAAACCATTAGCCAAAGTTTAGTTAACACGCATCATCACCTCACAGCATTAGGATTTTTTTCCTGTAAGAATGGTTATAATCTACACTGTATTTTTAAGTCAACTGACGTAGCAACTGCCCACAAAGGCCACAGACCAAGGTCTGCTCACTGAGCAAATATTTACTGATCTCCTGCTGTGTGCCAAGCGCTCGCCTGGGCGTGGGGACCTGGGCGCAGAGACGTCAGGCACCACACCTCCACCTTCACGGGACGGTCCGGCGAAGCTTGAGTCTCACTGAGGAATGTCAAGGAAAAAAAAGCTTCTGAAATGATAAGAGCAAGACTCTGAGTGGAGCGGTGTGGAAGCAGGGGGAAGGGCTCAGAAGTCACGAGCTCAGGCCCTGGAGCGGAGGCCGCCGGTTTCTGTCAGTATCAGAATGGGAGGAAGTTTCTAGAGCTGGAAAACTTCCAAACTGATATCCCTTTAAGAGACCCCCCCCTTCCTCTCACATAGGGAAGGATCCCCCTTGCCCTTCCTCCAAATTCAATGCCTTTGGGAGGGGCGCCTGGGTGGCTCAGTCTGCTAAACGTCTGACTTCAGCTCAGGTCATGATCTCACGGTTCGTGGGTTCGAACCCTGCCTTGGGCTCTGTGCTGACAGCTCAGAGCCTGGAGCCTGCTTCAGATTCTGTATCTCCTTCCCTCTCTGACCCTCCCCTGCTCACGCTGCCTCCTTCTCTCTCTCTCTCTCTCTCTCTCAGAAATAAATAAAACATGAAAAAAAAAACAAACCCAGTGCCTTTGGGAAGATGGCCTTCTGAGCAGAAAGAAGGGGGAAAACACGCAACCTTAAAGGGACAAAGTAGGCACAAGGCTGCAAAAGGTGAAAAGAAGGAAGAGTTTTTAAAAACCTGTGTGGCAAGTGCAGAACACATTAAACAGTATAGACGTTAACCTTCAACTGTGATGGCAAGAACAGGAAATGGCACAGGGCGCAGCAGTCTGAATGTATCCTTATTGTTCCTGGCGGCCAGAGGCGGTGACACCACACCCAAGTGCATCTGTCTGGGCTGTCACAGGTCCTCTTTTTTATAAGCCACTTTTCTTTCATAACCTCCCAGCCCTCCAGGTTCTCGGTTCTTCCATGGAAAATTAGAAGCCCTAGACTCTTCTCCAGGGTGTTTGTCCTGCAAGCCTGAGGGCTGCTCTGGGGCTTGCTTTGGGCCCTGCGTGGGGTCACAGAGTTGTTTCTCCACCAGTGAACTTTTAAATTCTTTTTTTTTTTTTTAACATTTTATTTATTTTTGAGAGAGAGAGACAGCGTGAGCAGGGGAGGGTCAGAGAGAGAGGGAGACACAGAATCTGAAGCAGGCTCCAGGGTCTGAGCTGTCAGCACAGAGCCCGACGCAGGGCTCGAACCCACAAACTGTGAGATCACGACCTGAGCTGAAGTCGGATGCTTAACTGACTGAGCCACCCAGACGCCCCTACACCGGTGAACTTTCCCACGGGGACACGCCCTGCCTCCCAGTGCGTGGGGGTCCTCGGGCAGGTGGCCCCATCCCATTTCAAGTT